ACACACACACACACACACACACACACACACACACACACACACACACACACACACACACACACACACACACACACTCGCGCGCGCGCGCACGCGCACGCACATACACATACACACACACAAACACACACACACGCACACACACACATACACATATACACACACACACACAACACACACACACAAACACACATTTATATATCCGCGAATGCATGCGCGCCCTTCCTCAGCCACAAACACGCACGCAGGCATACACACGCGCACTCACACACGGGCATGTATACGCGCGCACACATGCACATGAACCCCCCCCCCACGCAAGTATACGGACGCTCATTCGGTTAGCTTTCGATCCAGTTTTTAATCTATGCGCTTCATTAAAACTACCTTCCGCGTTTTAATGCTAATTATAGACACTTCGAGTTATCAACTCGAACCTGTTCGTCCCTCGCACGCGCTCACGACCTGTTCCTCGCCATCATCCCACGAGCCAGTTTCGTAGTGTCATCGACCTGGCTGTGATGTCTGAGATAGGTAACCCACCCCACCCTGGGGATATTGTTAATGGGTCGAAGCTAGCCTACTCTGCACATGCTCTTCACGCGCGCACGCCACATTTTTTTAGAACACCATATCACAGCAATAACTCACTTGAACTACGTGACAATCACGCTAGACAAATAGGTCACTTGCTCGGACGCTAGTGCGCACGCGCGGCCGCGGCATTACGTCATCGTTCGACGCGAGTGTCTCCGTACGTCTTCCAGTAAGGCCTCTCGCAGTTCGTTGGTAAACTGTAACTCCGTCTTCGCCAGATCGACGCACGCGTCTGTCAGCTCGTGTAGGCGAAAAGTGATGACGTCATCGCTGTAGGCGCGCAGACGCGCGTCCGTCTGTTCGACGTTCGACGCTGTTCCCGCGATGCACCGCGCATGCTCCCTCCTCGTGACTCGGCGCAGCACCGCCAGGTCGCGCTGCATGTTCGCGCGCCCGTAGGCGGCGACGCGCGACTCGAAGGTGTCTGCCAGCACGCCGTACAAGATGGCGTCGCCCCAGTTCCACGTCTCGATCGAGTGTGCCAGCTCGGCCGTCATGGCGCCGCTGCCGCCGCCGCCGCTTTGCCGCTTCGCCTCGGCCGCTCGCACATTCGCGCTCAGTACGACAACGTCACGCCACGGCCAGCAGAGCAGCGCACGCAGCAGCACCAGCGACTCCTCCATACGCTCGGCGAGCATCACCAGGTCAAAGGTCGCGCGCACCGCCTGCGCCGTCTCGTAGATGCGCGTCTTGTTCCAGAACTGCTCGGCTGGCAGGCCGAAGTCGTAGAGCATGCTGTTGCGCGGCGGCGGCGAGCGGCCCGGTTTCGCGTGCTTCCTGGCGGTGAAGCCGCGCGGGTCGGTGAGAAACGTCGTCAGGTTGACGTTGAAGCGCTGCTCCCAGTGCGAGAAGTGGTAGAGCGACTCGAAGACGGCGGCCGGACGGCGCACGACGGCCGTGAGCACGGCGCGAGGCATGAGCGCACGCACACTGCGCAGCTCGAAGCGCGAGTGGTGAACGAGCATGTTGTAGACACCCGACGGATGACGCACGATGGCGCTGGCGTCGAGCGGCGATGTGTAGCCGACGTAGTTACCGCGAGGTGGCAGCACGAACGTCAGCTTGTGCCGCTTGCCGTAGCGCATGAACATGTTCTGTAGCGTGCTGCTGGCACATTTGTGCACCTGTAACGATGCGGGGAGGAGGAGATGAAACGATACGATACGATACGATGCGATTCGGTACGACATGACACGATACGACACGGAGGGCATTATATAACAACCACCGGTACTTAATTATCTGTAACGTTTAAAGTAAGCTGTAAGTGGAAATTTCTGCTTGCATACGTATGCTCCATTTTATCACATCAATCTGGGATCATAATCAATCCGAGAATCATTGGATCCAAGAATCATCCAAGAATCATTAAATCCGAGATCACAGATGATAGCCATGCAAAGAGCGTGAACAGTGTCCCTACTAGGCCTACAGCCAGCACAACATAGATTGCCTATAATTCAGCTAGTTTCTAGTACCTACCATCGAAAGGCTAGTAACATCTATTTTCATTGCTGCTTACGCTTAACCAGCATAACTAAGTATTCAATAATATAACTTATATATAAATATTTAAAAAATATACGATTGTAATACATATCAGTATTCACGAAACAATGGCACGCACGAAAATGCGGAAACGACATGAGAGTGCTGGAAAAGAAACGATGATTTCCAAAGAAATGATACGAGACCATCCGAAAAAAATCGGAGAATTCCATTTTACGAAAATATACTATTCATTAACTAGCAAGTAGATACATTTTTGTTACTATGCATTAGATCTTTGTTATCATATATTATTGTATTTTAATTATAAGCGACAGCAACCTTAAGGAAGAAGACATCATGAATGGCCGAGCAGTTCCGGTTCCGGTCGTCTGCCTCGTCGGCGTCGGTAGCGTCGGTCGTGAATCCACGCGTCACTTCCGCTACCGTGACTACCGACGCCTGTAGTTGTATGTTCTGACGGAGCATGTTCCATTTCGCGTAGAGGAGGAGGCAGACGGAGAAAGCGAGGGCGGCGGCAGACACGCGTCTGCGCGGGAGAAACACGCAATAGAGATGGCGGCGCCGTGCAATACAGCGTTTACTATATATACCGTATATACTGCAAGCTTTATTGCACAATTAAATTAAATCACATAAACGCGTGCGCTCCTGCACGCACACAGGCACACACGCACGCACGCACGCACACCATATACTCCCTCGCTCTAACATTCTCTCCCCTCTTGGTCACTCTGGCGCTCTATCCCTCTCTCTCTCACCTTTCTATATATCTCTCTCTCTCTCGGTCAGTGACTTTGTGCGCGCGTGCCTATATTTTAGAGATCACAGTATTCGTGATCTGGCGGCATATAGTTATAGAAGCTCGGCAATAAAGTTCTCACGTCAGCATAAAGGTGTTACATACGCGCATTACCATGCTAACACGCACATTCACGGACCTACATTTACGACAAACATTTCAGGAACATCATTACCTAGCGAAGCCGAAGCCCATCGTTGCAGCCAGTGTCATCCACGTATATACACGTTATAGATACGGTTAAGCATGCGTGCATCGTAGGGCTATATGCTTCCGTCCACCTTATCACCGGACACTTCCTCCGCGGTCGAGGAATTGCGTAGACATTTCAAATATCCCTGCTGACGCGAATAACGTAGCAACATAGTTGTCGGCGACAGTCAACCGTTTTTTTCAGCCGTTGTCATCACCAGATGACGCGATTTCTTCGCTAGACGCGAGCACCGTTGCAGACGATCGCCGATCCTAAAAGATGTCGCGTCTTTCTTGAGTTTTCTTCCACGCTAATCCTTGATCATCAACATCATCCGTGGAGCATTGCTACTCCATGTTCACTCGGCCCTATTCCATGTAGCGCAATGCCAACGCACACACAACCGACACGGTGTAAAGCACGGTATTTTATGACGTGACCATATATATCTCAGTTGCGCGCTAGCTGGCTGTCTGGCTAGGATTATGCCGCGCAGGATGCGGTATCTCGGCGCAGTAATTTGTTCCACTTACGATTAACCAACGAGGATACGCGGTAGAGGGAAATCGCACAGGATGCGCTCATGGATATCACTAAACTACGATAATATACTCAATGCAGGAAACCAAGTCTCTGCACATAGACTACAGTACTTCTCACAGTGTACGATATGTAGAATATAATGTGATAAGCATATTCTGAAGAGGGACGCAGATCTAAGGGAGATGCTACTTACATCAGGTTACTGCCCCCACGCGCATGCACAGTAGGATAATATGTACACAATGTACATTGCATGAAAGTGTTTGCTTTATATGTTCGATACACATGACACATTTATATGTTGTGGCAACGTTTTCATATGAATACACTGTATAGACATGTTAACGATAATACTCTTAGCAGGGGCGCAAGTCTGCACGAGAATCGGGTGCTCCACCACCTCCCCCAATGTACGGTGGGTTAGGGATATTTCTCATAGCTCTCAGCTCCTTTACTCGTTCCACACCTCGCCACCAGATGTAGAAACTCAATAAATAATAATAAATAATAAGATAATAAAACTCAAAATTCACGGAGGCTATAGCCAAGACATGTGTCTAGAATTATAACCCAACTCGTTCGCGAGATATGAGAGTTAATACACTTTCCTGTCGCCCATATAGCCGTGCGTATATTAGCCTATGAGGGATACCACGCGCATATATTTGATAATTAATTAAATTAATCGTGCATCCATAAATTCAAAATTCACGGGGATTATAGCTAAGACACGTGTCTATATGTATCTAGAATTCTAGAATAATAAGCCAACTCGTTCGCGAGATACACTTTCCTGCCGCCCATTGCCGTGCGTATATTAGCCTATGAGCGATACCGCGCGTGCATGTGCTAATTAATTAATCTAATTGCGCTTCAATAAACTCAATATTCACAGAGATTATAGCGAAGACATGTGTCTATATGAATTTTGAGTTTTATTAGCTTATTATTTATTGAGTTATTACATCTGGTGGCGAGATGTGGAACGAGTATGTTATTGAATCTTGAATCTTCAGTAAAGGAGCTGAGAGCTATGAGAAATATCCCTAACATGTACGGTGATACTAGAGACAATAGGCGTGTTCACACACAAGAAAAACCGCGATGCTAATCGCGATGGAAATACCGAGATAATTGTGTCGTTGTTCACACAGGCGGAAATATCTCGCTAATCGCCGAGCGGGATAATTCTATTAATCGAACTGCGCATGCTCACTGCCGGAATGATGCTTACTGCACATGCTCACTGCTCACTCGCTTGGAATGATGGGATAGAAAATACCGGGATTATTTGCGCGAGCGTTCACACACGCAAATAATTGCGCTAATTCCAAATAATCGCAGTCAAAAGTGCGATTTGGAGCACGATGCTGATCGCGATTATTAGTGAGATCATTGCGTTCACACTTGTAATAATCTCGGTATTTCGATCGCGATGCAAAAACCGGGATTTGCATCCCGCTAATTCGCGCCAGTGTGAACGCGCCTATTAGAACACTAATAGAACTCTGTTCTATGGTCTCTGGTGATACTCTTCGCAATATATTCTGACCGAGACATTTTTCTCATTTACAATCCGGCGGCTAGCTGAGAATAGCAAAGAAGTCAGATTGTAAAGCGATTATTAGCCACAGTTTATTGGTCTTGGATGAGTGCAGTAGGAGAGGCAGGTGGCCACGTTAAAACCATGTGAACTCCTCACGCAAAAAAAGTGTCAGAAAACGAAGCAGTTGTACTAAATAACAATCATTACGAAAGTTCCCCGCTTCACCAATACATCAACAACAGGTTCACTACAGTAGCAAGTAACTAATATGACTAACATCTTATGATGTAAAATGTTCTCGTTCGTGCATATGCGTGCATACACATATAAATTATAATTAATATAATAATTTAATATCACAGTACACAAACATAAAGACAGTACGTATTTTTGCTGTATACATACACTGTTTATTTCATTTCTGATAATAATACGATATACTAAATTAAGGCATTCATTATTACCACGCAAACATTTACTCGACATTGGGCGAATTGGTCCACACCATCTAATCATATTACAAGTTAACACACAATTGACCCGCTAGACATCTGGCAGATCAACTGGGGCCCCAGATACCCGAGGCATACAGGACGCAAGGTGCATACGTCACATTTACTTAAAAGTGGTATTTTCAGTGCCACAAACAAAATTCCTCCGTTAAAACACGTAACCAGACTCACGCTTCATAAATCACCGCTTCACAAATCACCGCAACCTACCCGACTTTCACTTACGGCTGCGTACTAGCCCCACCTACTGGGAAAATATGAAATGAAACAGATAATACCACAACGATGCATGCACCATTGACGGACGATAAACAAAATCAGAACTCTAGTAAAAGAATATATTTGACAAGACAGCTCCAGTAACCATGGTAACGTCGCTGCCAGTGACTGCATACGAGAAATGTTTTGAGCAGGTATCACTATACTGTGGCACTAGGCTTTTCACTCTTCCCTATTTACTGCTGTTCTGTTCTCCACCAGGACTCAGCTGTGTCTCAAGGTAGCCTTGTCAAGGTTTCAGTCATATTAGAGGAACGTTTACCCATTAGTTCAGGCATGTCTCAGCTCTGTCTCCCACTTCTGTCAGCCACATATCTCTGACCCACGAATTTCTATCTGTCTCTCTCTATTACACAAACACACATATGAACACAGACACAGACACGCACGCACGCACGCACGCACACACACACACACACACGATGCACGCACGCACGCACAGGCACACCCATAAAGATCAGCTACATGCCTGTGGTCAGCATACATGGAAACATGACAGAAACACGAGCACATACAATTCTACTTATCACAAGAAACATTGTGTAGCCCCACGCATGCAAGCCCACCAGCAAGCCTCCATCCGCACTTCACACGTGCACGCACCCTGCACTTCACTGTCATTTACAACCGGCGACTCGGCACACGGTAGCGGCACCACTCCTGAGAATCGGTCGTAGCAGTGGCGCCCCCGCGCAGGGTTGTGCATCTGCTTGCAGCTTGCTACTTGGGTCGTCCCGTGGGTGGCAGCGACGACAAGTTAGTCGTCGTCGTGACGTCACGTTGCGGCATCTGCTGCTGCTGCTGCTGCTGCTGCTTCTTGAGCCGCTTGTTCAGCAGAGCATTGTTCGTCGACTCCGTGATCGGCTTGATCGGCTTTGTGTCCGGGTCAACGCGCATCGCGTGCAGTGCGCATGTCAGCTCCTCCTGGTGGCGAGCAAATTAAAAATTAATAACATAACGAACGACCCTAACAATTAACATTTGTCCCCAAAATAAAATTTTACTGATGAAATCACACAATTCATAATGGTTGCTGGCATTCATATAAAGTATGAGGTTGTTGCGAACATTTTGGCCACTTGGAAATAACCTGAATTATGTGTAGGCAACATCCCCAACACCCCCGCCATCACATATCAAATTCTAGACACAACAAACAGTTGGCAACATCTGCATGGGTCTGCCTGCAGGCACTGTGGCTTGCCCAGTCAACTGGCCGTTTTATGCGTATTTTTAGATGCTGGGGTAATTAAGCTGTCATCGGCCGGACTGGGGGCATATGCTGTCCTGTGGCATAACCCACGTGCATTGATCTCCCTAATGCCTGCTCGCCCCATCCCTGTCTTTCAAACGTGGTAGGTTCCTTACCTGAACTTCCTCCCAGTTGTCAGCCTCTTCCTTTAGCACCTTCGGGGCTGCTAGTGGTGTGGCAGGAACAAGTGTGTGCTCCTGTGGGGATATATACCGTGATTATCCATCCAGGATCATCTCAAACGCGACAACGAGACTAGAACAATGTATTATGCACATGCACACTCAGACACACGCACACGCACACACACATGCACACGCACACACACATGCACACATATATATGCACACACACTCTCACACACATACACACACACACGCACTACCTTATAATCTGTCAACAAAAACAATTTCCTACTCTGTATCCCCTCTCCCTTCCCTTTCATTCTATCTGTTCCTCTCTTTCTTTCTGTGCCTCTTTTCCTGTCTGTCCCCTCTACTGTCCGTTCTGTCTGTCTCTCTCCCTCTACTCTCTCATTCATAAAACGAATCGTGGATATATAGAATGGGGTCTATAAAAGTGCATACAGTACTGCAATATCAGACTGTACATGACAAATATCAGCAATATTTGTTGAAGGTGCTATGCAAATTATGGTCTTGTTGAAAGTAAGCCTACAGCTATCCACTTGTGTCGCATGACGTCTTGTATGTCCAGTCGCTTGGCCGGGTCTGTCTTCAGAAGCCCCTTTATCAACTCTATCGCTATAAGAAAAGCAGAGTAGTTAATAGAGCCACACAATGGATAACACCCGATGAGCCATATAACCAATCACCCAATAAAGTGAAGTGAGTGTGCGCTGTGTGTGTACATACCGAGTGCATGTATGTGCCCGTGGGTGTTGGTGTGTGTGCGTCCCTGCATGCGTGCGCGTGAATGTGGCACAGGTGCCTGTGTGTGCATGCGTAAGTGCATGTGTGTGTGTGTACAAGTGCGCGTGCAAGCATGTACATGCTTGCCTGTATGCATGTGTTGTAAATGTGTGTGCACAAGTGTGAGTGAGTGTCTGCGTGGATGTGTAAATGTGTACATGCGTGCATATGTTCGTGCGTTCATGGGCAAAATTTCCATACCAACTACGGCAGCGCCTAAAGCTACTCACTCAGCTTGCTCACAATGACAACAATCTATTGAAGGTTACAAGCATGGGCACACACCCAGACGCACCCGTATGGTCAAACTCATTGGTAAATATTTATCAATGGCTACTAGCAAACGTTATGATACTGTACTGAGGTCCTGTTGGCAATATACTAAATACGGGACATGCCCAAATATTAAACCAGACTGATCAACTCTATATAGCATGGCTCATGCCTATGGCTAATGTTGCGCAATCGCATAAGTTTGACAGTTGCTTGTGCTCCCCCACCTGCATGCTCTACTCTGGGTGCAATAATTCTTACCCTGGGGCGAAACTTGTTTCCACTCCGGATCAGGAAAGTCGTACTGACCGGACCGTATCTTCTTCTTCATTCCGGGTGACATCGCTGCCCCGTGCGCGCTGTAGAATGGGGGGTATCCACACAGTCTGTAACAGTGGGCCGGTAAGGGAGTATACTCCCTCGTCATGATACGTCAGGCATAGCTCTACCGGTGTAGTGCTTTCGCTCCTGCTACAGGGCTATATTACAACAGCACTGGGGCTACACCAGTAGAGCTATGTCAGGCACGGACATCAAGAATGCAATGAGCGTACATGCTGCAGTGATCACTCAAGGACCTGGTGAGGTTCAAACACACGTGTTGCGTGTGTACCTTGATTGAACATCAAATTACAGCTGATTAATTGCCGATAACAACGACTTTCCACAGTCACAACCCCCTGAGCGGATAAGTCACATGAAACGATTGCTTGATTATTCATCAAAGCAAAGGGACATCTATCAGATCTACATATTCTATATCTACAATAATATATATAACAGTGTTAATTGTTACTCAACCGTAAAGATTGGAAACGTACCGCTTACGTTTCGCCTTCTACCAGGAGGCTTTCTCAAAGCTAACTGATGATGATCAGTTTTGACCACCAGATGGTGTGGTGTGACTAAGCCTGTATCCCCCCTCGTCCCGGTTGATGTTCGGGGTCTTGCGGATCCAGATTGCCTTCATAATCTAACGCCTGATTTTGATTGGCTCGCGATCAATGACCTTCGAATTCTCCCAATCGATGGTGTGATTGTCCTTCACTAGGTGGTTAGTGATCGCGGATTTGGTGATTTCGGTAGCTGACTGTTTTCGTTGAGCCCTTGTGAACGATTTGGGTGCTACGGTGTCTACGTCCTTTTTGTGTTCTTTAAGGCGGGTTTCAAATTTTGGGCCAGTTTTTCCAATTTAACTTTTTTCACACATTGCACACGGTATCTTGTAGACACAGTCCGTAATGTTGTGCATATATGTTCTGTCCTTAGGGTGTACCAAAAGCCGTTTTAGGTTCTCAAACGATCTAACTTTTGAAGCCACACCTGCATTTTTTAGGTGATGCTGAACTACGTCCATGACGCCTCTGACATAGGGTAGGACAATCATCGCCTTCGGTTTCTCTGTGGTTTTCTTTTGGGATGTTGTTTTTTCCCGTGATGTGTTCATCTCCTTGGACACTTTTTCGAGTGTACAATTGGGATAGCCGCATTTTCCTAGTGCGTTCTTGATGTGGGGCGCTTCAACTTCCCAGTCCTCACTCTCCGTTATGATCTTGTCCCTACGATCAAGTAGCGTCCGTACCACTGACAGTTTGTGGTCGACTGTGTGGTGTGAGTTGAAGTTTAAGTACTGGTCCGTGTGGGACTTTTTCCTATACACCGTCAGTTTTAGTGAACCATCTTCTCGTTTATGGACGAGTGTGTCGAGGAACAGAATTTTTTGATCGAGTTCTTCCTCGTACGTGAATTTGATGTTGTTGGTACTGTCGATGTTGTTGAGGTGTTCTGTCCATTGTTGGACTGTACCAGACTTGATGATTTCCAATGTGTCATCTACATAGCGTAGCCACAATTTAGGTTTGAGATCAGACGGTGCTGTCTCGATGGCTTTCGTTTCAAGCCATTCCATGTAAAGATTGCAATGATAGGCGAGACCGGGCTACCCATGGCTGCTCCGAACTTCTGGTTGTATATTTGGTCTCTGAATTTGAAGTATGTGGTCGTAAGGACGAACGTGAGCAATTCGATGATATCGTCTGTGGTGAGGTTGGTTCGCTTCTTCAATGTTTTGTCTGCCTCAACTTGATTATGTTAATCGATTCTAGGATCGGAGTGTTGGTAAAGAGTGAGACAACGTCATGGGAGACTAATATCTCGTCTGGTTTCATACGTATAGTTTTCAGTTCCTCTGCTAGCTCTGTTGAGTTCTTGATGTAATGTTCGGTGGTGCCTACCAATGCGACCAGTAGATCGGCTAAGCTTTTTGACAAATTGTATGCTATGGAGCCTGTGTAATCGACTATAGGTCTATACGGGTTGCCTTCTTTATGTATTTTAGGTGTGCAGTAGATTCTTGGTACATTTTCGGCCGTGGAATACAGGAACTTGTACTGGGCTTCAGTAATTTTTTCTTCTCTTTTCAGACGTTGGAGAATCACCAATAGTTTGCTTTTATATTTCGTTGTAGTGTCTTTCTTTAATTTCAAATAGGTCTTTACATCGTATTGACTTGTTTTTCGTAGTCGTCCTTGTCCACCACAACTGTAGCCTTTCCCTCGTCTGCTGGTAGGATCATGATACTGGGTTCCTTTTTCAGCTTAAATATGGCCGATTTTTCTTCTTTGGTGATATTTGGTTTCGGGGGTTTAGCCATACTCATGGTGTGTGCTATTTTCATTCGTAAATCTTCAGCTTCTGTTGTCGGCATAGAGTGACACGCTTGTTCTGTGCCTACAATGAATTCTTCCGTGAGGGTTTTATTCGGGGTGATGGCGAAATTTAATCCTTTAGCTAGGACTAACCGTTCTGCGATTGTCATCTTATATTTAGAAATATTAACTACCCACTTTTTGAGTTGCGTACCTGTTAGATTGAGTGTTGTGGTCGCAGATCTGTCCTTCTTTCGTTGTAGAATTGAAAACTTCGATTGCTGCCGCCATTTTGTTTGTTTATACTCGGTCTCGCAGGAATGCGTGAGGTGCTCCAAGACGCGCTGTCTTAGTCCATTGTTTAGGGGCGCCTTTTTTAGATCTTTAAATTCACTAGTCTGTTGTCTTCATATGGCTTGATTTTGTAGCTTACTGATCGTATTCTCTCTCTTATGAGTTGTTTTTCTGCTTTCTAGATAATGTCCTTCGCGCAATTTGTACGAATCGGGAATTTCAGACGTAGACTGGCCGGAACGATATTTTTGTCCTTACACCGTAACGTAAACACTAGATGGTTTTTGTGTCTTGCGATCTTTCTTTCCAAACTTTCGAAGGATCGGACTTCAGTCACTGTTCTCTGACAGTGTTGTGAACGTAACTCATTAAATAAGTTCATTCAGTTGGTAGACTAATATATATAACAGGGTTAATTGTTGCTCAACCTTGAAGATTGGAAACATACCGCTTACGTTTCGCCTCCTGCCAGGAGGCTTTCTCAAAGCTAACTGATGATTATCAGTTTTGACCACCAGTCACGTGTTGACTAAGCTATTGACCACCACACCATCTGGTGGTCAAAACTGATAATCATCCGTTAGCTTTGAGAAAGCCTCCTGGCAGGAGGCGAAACGTAAGCGGTACGTTTCCAATCTTCACGATTGAGTAACAATTAACCCTGTTATATATATTAGTCTACCAACCGAATAAACTTATTTAATGAGTATATATCTACAATATTATTGATAATATATTACATATCACATCGACATCAAATCTTCACTGATAGAAAGAGACATGCTCATCCTAGGGCCTCAGATTCACACAAATAAACAGCAATAACCCCCTATAAAGTTTCAGCGTAACTCTGTAAGCAATAATGAAGAGTTATTCGTAGCACGGCGGGGCGCGGCATCAAGCACATCTCCCAGTAAGTACTTACAGGATGTAGGTGATGACACCTAGCGACCACAGGTCGCACGAGAAGTCATATTTCTCCGGTCCAAGAACCTCAGGAGCTGAAATGAACAGCAGCACAGTTAGGAACAATGCAAACACGAATTCCTGACGTCAGAGAAATACAGACCAACGTTCTCCACCTGCTGTCGCCATGGCAACGATATGTATCCATAGGAGAGTCGTTCACTAGACGATCTGCAGCCCGGATATCCGCGCGAAGCGCGCCAACGCCGCCTCGCGGCAAAAACTAACACAGGATCGCTGCCCCCACTCAAAAAGCTTTACATAGGCCCTTCGGGTAAGGGCTCAAGCCGTATTATCGGTCCCTTCAGCAGTTGTGGCCATTGCAAGGCGGCTTTCGACTACCCAGGTAGGCAGCAGCTGCTCGGAATGATCGCACAAAATTTTTGGCTATTCGCGCGCCTTTGTTTCCTGTAAAACCACAGACGTTTAGTTCCCCTCCCCCCATCACTCTAAATCAGTGTACATCTGTCTACTATATATTGGCGTCCAATAGATGGCGGCACGAGTCTATGCACGAGTCTATATCCATATCATTTGCCTACGACTTTGCTTGCACACCGGTCGCGGGGCTATATGCGGGTATAAGCCGCCGGTGTAATTCATTTCGCGCGCGGCGAGCCGGCACTTTGGCGCAGACGAGACGCTAATTGGAGTTTACTTGTAAATAAATGTTAACGGATGGAGGGGGCAAAAACGTTACCTCTTAGCACACGCACGTGATCTGGCTAGCTTGGTTAGGTGCGTAGTGGGTTCTTACGACCTGCGCGCGATAGGCTGTGACCCGGGGGTGCATTCATTCTGCGCGCGCGTCTACCACATGCAGCGGCGTGACTGTTGGTTCGTGCGCGCACAACTATAGCATGCGTTTCTGGTGGCGAGCGACGCAAGTATAGTGTTATATATAGTGTATTATTTTCTATATAGTGGATTTTGCCCCTGCTCAAGTATGCCCTTAGTAAATTATGAAGTATTCGGTAAGTACGCCTATTCTTCCGTATGCATTCTTTCCGTGTCTTCATTAAATCACTCATCAACTCATGTCGCATTTTTTCAACTAGCTGTTAGCAGAACACATGGAAAGAAGACAGTTTATGAGGCATCGTACTAACAATACATTCTTAACATGTCTTAATTCTGCCATTAATATGTTATAACTGTCATGTTGTATTTGTTAACAGTTAGTTTCAATTGTTTGCATGAACTATAGATCACTATATTTTAGGGAATTTCCTAATTTAACTGTAATTGCCCATCGTCGCAATCAATTCTTACGATATGTTCATCATGCCACTCGACCATTATAAATCCTGTCTACACTGGAGTCTACTACATCGGCAATGCTAGGATTCTACGAACGACCGTGTTCACAACTTTGTCAATAGTTCGATATGCCAGTATTACGTCACTTAATACCTCTAAAACTATAGCCCTTCGCTCTGCCACACGCCTGTACCAGGAGTTCTGTCATATAGAATGTGGAGCACATCTGCTCGTCATTAAGCATGTTATACTATTGTCATAAAAGTGACTTAGCATATGAAGTTGTATGTGTAACTCTGACTTTTGTAACACACTGTGTCACAATTGAAGCGAGTGTGGCAATGTCAACCATATACAGTTGTAACATATAATACGATATATTGTCATGTCTTTGTAAGCGTTCATTATGACTACCGGGGCCGTGGTCACAGGCACTTGCACCGTTTCAATAATAAAACGATGGTTAATAAAATACAAACTTGTCACTACTACTACTAGCCCTACAGTTACCAGTACCAGTAATATTCTTAATGTTTAATTTGACCTAATAACTTCACTTCCAACACCGTCCAATACACCGCTGCAACACATAGCGCGCACGCCTTGTGGCATGCACAAATTCACAGTGATTTAGAGTCGGCACAGTCCAGCTTGTCGCGATTACCACAACCCTTTTCACTACGCACGTAGCTAGAGAATTTCATACAAATGGTGGTAATTGTTGGTTTGCTGCTCGGCGCGTATCGTTTTTCTGTAGAAAACGAATTTACCATTTTTGCTGTTTCATGCCCTGACATTATTTTGCAACTTATGGCGTCCCATAGATGGTGCAACGAGTCCATGTACATAGCATTTTCAAGTCGTTCTTCTACACAACGCTCAGCTTACTCAGATAGACTGCTACCCAGTGGACAGTTCCACACGCTAGCGTAACTCACTTCAGTGTAGCCAAAGATAGTTGGCTGAGTGAAGGCCGGTACCAGTCTAGCCTGCAGCTCATCGTACAGTGGCCGCTTCAACTTCCCCGTATCTATCTTGAAGAGAGACCAATGTGATGACAATATTTGTATGTGTATTGACAATATTTGTGACTATTACCTGCTCATTGTTTGTATATAGGTCAACATTTCTATTTACATGAATAAAGGCATATTATTTCAGCATGTATTAATTATAAAACCCAGCTTATGTATCCGCTGCAGTTGCCGCTCGTTACATGAAGGCGCTGACGCATAATAAAATACAACTCATAATAAAACTTCTACAACACAGTGTAGAAGTAGAAGGTGTTGACACTTTCATTGATATTTCCATTAAACTTCCAAAGAACAGCAGCTGAATGCAGCTGAGCTCTTTCATTGTATTCCCGCTAAAATTCTCGACTGTTCGCTGGCAGCTATGAATCCCCCGCTGGTCGCGTGCGCCTTGCCGCGGAACTGCGCGCAAGATCTGCGCTCAGCGCTTCGGATCAACACCTCCTTTCGGCAACGCTTCTCTAGTATCCCGTCTCATCTGGATGGCGTAAGCGAGTGTTGATATCGGTGATCGAGCATGTGTAAATGTCCGTATCGCAATTTTATTGTCGCTTCGAATACACACCAATTCACACGGATTCCGACACAGCATGCTGCCAGTACAGAAGTAAGTGATGAGGATTAACGGATGATTGCTAGCTAAACTCGGACCCTGCTGCACTGCTCTACCACAGCAAAAGGTAAACATACATACGGACACTAGTTGTACACACAAACATACATGCAAGGGATGATACATATATACATGCATTGGGTGATAAATATCAACGAACGTACATAGGGTGAATACACATACATACAAGCGGTGAAACATACACATGTACAAGGGGTAATACATCATTATGTATACAGGAGTAGAAATTAACTTTTGAACAAGGGAGTCCAACCTCTACCCTCTACCCTCTAGGACCCTCTACCCTCTAAAAGAGGGAGTCTGCAGCAAAATGAGTGAGTCTGCAGTCTGAAGTTCAAAATTAAAGATATTAACAATAATGCATGTGCTTATTTTGAAGATTCATGCGGTTGCACATCTGCCAAATTTTCTTTGGACATTTGCTGGAAAAATACGGTAATTCGGCGAGGCCGTGCTCTGGAACGAACTAGTTAGTATAGCAGAATTTTCAGGGAGTCACACGAACTCCTGCATATGTCAAATCAGGGAGTCCGACAGAAAATCAGGGAGTATTTAACTCCGGACTCCCGTTAATTTCGCACCCTGTGTATACATGTACAAAATGTGAAACATACATACATACAACGGGTAATACATATGTACGGTACATACATGCGACTAGAACCTTAAATTCTCTCCCGCCACCTTGTGTGGCGAGGTAACGGTGCCCTACTCCATCACTCACCGGCGTAGTAGGGCGTATAGCAGGGCGTCTGCAGCGACTTGAAGTCTGCCTTCACTTCCTTCGCGAACCCAAAGTCGGTCAGTTTCAGCACGGCAGACGGCTGCTTGCTGCTGTATAGCAGGTTCTCAGGCTGAAAGACACAGAAATCACATTGCCACACGAATGATACGCTGCGGGGGGCGGTGGGTGGGGGTGGATGCTACGCTGCAGACGCCCTGCTATACGCCCTACTACGCCGGTGAGTGATGGAGTAGGGCACCGTTACCTCGCCACACAAGGTGGCGGGAGAGAATTTAAGGTTCTAGTCGCATGTATGTACCGTACATATGTATTACCCGTTGTATGTATGTATGTTTCACATTTTGTCCATGTATACACAGGGTG